CGCTGGCTGTTGTCGCCCTGTTGATGACGTCAGCGACGCGGTTTAATTGGGCGCGGCTTAGTCGAGCGCGGTTTTGACGGGTCACGATCAGGAGATACCTGATAGTTGCAAGGTGGAACGTTGTTGCCACTTAGACAATATTTGGCTGGGTGCACCAATTATCTGCTATAGATTAGGCAGATTTCATTGCTCCTGTTATTCCCATTCAGGAAATTGGCTAAATATAAGACCCATTCTTCTAGAAAGAGAAAGCAGGGTTGAGGCTTCTTGGAACAGGATAATTTGTAGGGAGTCGCAAAACAAATGCAGTTGTGTTAACTTGTGTCAACCTCCGTGCATGCTGATATTAGTGCCATATTATTTAAATACACATTATTAGCTTGACGTAGTGATCGCAACTTAAGGGACTGGAGGCTGGAATATCCACACATCTGGAAGCTACTCGATTGGAAAATTAATTTAGTTATTGCTAGAGAAATTATACAAGTTTCCTGGTTCTTTCCGAATTGTTTATCTTCCTCTCTGGAGCATGGAAGTATTGGGAAATAAGGAATCCTCTTTGTCTACCGATGGCTAGGCACGCTAGAGGAAACAGCAGTTGGCTGTCTCCTGGAACGGAAACAAGGATAAGTTGCGTGTCTGTTGGCCCGGCATATATTGGAAACGATGCGAAATTGTAGTGGGAAATAAAGTTTATCTGAATAAAAGCACTGCATTTTAATTTAGCTCTTCCTGTGCTTCCCCCCCGCCCCACCTCAAGCTATTTTCATACCTTTATTGAAAGCCGGATACATCGATTTTACACAGCTATAATTAGGTATCAGCTCCTTGACATTTACAACTGGAATTAATAATCTTTAAGACTTTCCTGCATTTGTATGTTAAGTAGTTAGCTCTTCCTGCTTTAGTAATGTTTGTTCACTTGTCTCCCAGAGGAGATTAGAGAATATCAGATACTGATGTCTGAAGGGCATCAAGTTGCGGAAAGTGATTTATACTTTTTCGTTGATGTCTTGTTTCATGGATTTTTCTCTCCGTTGCATCTATCTTCTTTACTGCTTTTGGGGCTCTCTTTTTAACTTTGACTTCTAAAAGGGCTGTCACGTTTTGGGTTTTATCTATTTAGATTTTCTGAATACAGCACCTCATATTTCAGTTGGCATTGCTTCCCCCCCCCATTGCAAAAGTCAAATTGTGCAACAACATAGTAGGCGGTAGTAGATGTATCTACCGCTAGGCAGATAAGAGGAAACCATTCTTTGGGGAACTTATTGGAGAGCCGAGGTGGCGCAGTGGTTAGGGTGCAGTACTGCAGGCCACTTCAGCTGACTGTTATCTGCAGTTCAGCGGTTCTAATCT